CCCCCCCTTCATTTTCACTCTCTCCTGCATCTCCCACAGTGAAATTATTCCCCCCTTAAGGCCACCAGTCTCAAGGTGAGCACCAGTCAGACCAGTAGGTCGCTCCAGGTGGAAATGACGCGTGACCTCCACCTTCATCCAAACTCACTTCCAAAGAAACAAATTAATGCAACTGTGGTCCAGCCTGTTCTGCACCCATTCATCTCAAGGTGGGGGGGGGGGAGCAATTTTTTAAGATGTGCTTCATGTTATATTGGGTGTGCATGTAACCAAAAAGAAATCCATCGCTGCCTTTGCTGTTTTTGAAGCTGACCTATAGGGGGCGCCTCTCTTAAACCTGATGACTTTATTGTCCTATTCCTGGCAGACTGTGTAGTAAATTACCCACCCTCAGTGGTACCATCATTAGGGAGTATGAGAGAGAGAGGATTTAGCCCCAGTACGGATGGCAGGTGGATTAACCCTTCATTGAGAGAACCGCATCACTCAATATGCTAGATAACCCTGAATAAACACTCTGACTGTTTGCTGTATTTCCCTGCGTCTTGTTGCCCACACAGACTGATTAATGCACTTATATGTTTCCCTTTGCGGCTGAATCTGAAATGAGATTTTGACCCAGATAATAAAGAAATCCAAGATTGATCATTTTAATAGATGCCTCTGAATATTATTTTAATCAATGCAGGGGTCGTTTGCTAATCTTTCATGCCAGTGTCATTCTATAAATATATTTTCATATATGTTCAAAGCAATTAAATGGCACCAAAGTCATTTAAATTCAATTAAAATCAGTGAGTAGCTCTCTCTCCGTGCTGACGGCAAAGCCATTCTTTAATTTCCAATCCACTCTGCAGTTTACACTATCCGTGCCCTCTTTATTCTGCCTATTTATTTGTTAACACCCCCCTCCCGACCAATCACTTATGGGCTTAATTGGTGATGTTGGGAGCAAGTCATGGAGATTTTTGACACTTCTGGACTTTTCCGTGGGATCTCAGCTAGTGTTTGATGTGGTACTTATTTCACACGAGGCCTCATATGTCACAGTTTGGGTTTCCGGTTATGTTTCAGGGTTCCGGTTATGTTTCAGGGTTCCGGTTATGGTTCAGGGTTCCGGTTATGGGTCAGGGTTCCGGTTATGGTTATGGGGAATGCCAAAAGGAGGAATCTAATTAACATCCTGCTCTGAATGAAGGTTCCTCGTTGTTCCTATCTGAATTCTCCTCAGTGCTGGCTGGCTCAATTCCACCAGCCGCAATCAGCTGCGTGTAGAAGCTATTCGGCGTTGATCTGGCCGCAGTTTCAGTGTGACCCTCTGTCTCTCATGGTTCTGACTGTTGATGGACGGACTAGACTACCCCCCCCCCCCACAGAAGACAAAGCCTGTGTGTCAATCTGGCGCCGGTTCTTTTCGCTCCTATTGGAGGGCATCGATTGTGGTGCATGCCGAAGATTCTGAGAGCTGTGTGGTTCTCTCATTCTGGGTGCTTCTCGCTTGTGGGGGGGGTGTTGTTCAGTGTGCCGATGTTTCGTTGGTATGTGTCTGACTTTCTTAGCCATCTCCTGGGAAACTGTCTGGCTCACATCACCGCGGTGACACCCATGCGGCTCTTCTCGATGGCTCAGCCCATTTAACGCCGCCGGTCTGAAAGAGCCAAAGCGCCCCCTTCTCAATCTCCGCCTGAAATGGCGGCCCCCACCCTCTGGGCTCTCGGCTGGCGATTTCCCTGCCCGAGAGCCGATTTCACCACGAACTGTCAAGAGCAGGCCATCCATGAGGAGCGTCGTGCGTGATAATCCCGCTCTGATTATGCTCCTTTTATTTATCCTCGCATTGGCTTATTTCGAGCGGTTATTTAGCGTCTCTGTGAGGCCTCTGAAGGCTGTGGAGTGATGCTCTCGCAGCCCAGAAAAGTGACGGCACTGTGATCTATTGATGAAAGGGGGGCAACGTCAGGGGAACATCAGAGGAACATCAGAACAACATCAGAGGATGCAGAAAGTGCTCGGCGCCGATTTAGACTCATGTCACGCGGCGGTTTGACATCAGGGGGTGCTTCGTCTGGAGGATGCCGCCTGTTTGGGGCCATGGGGGTTGTTTATGGCGTGTTTTGGGGGGGGGGGGCAAGCATTGTTAATCTCGTGAAGATGGCCTTCAGTAGGACAGCTGGCCCGTGGGGAGCAGTGGGTGGCTCGCCTGGTTAATAAGGGCCTTATTAACACCTTGAGAGAAGTACAGAAACCCCCCCCCCCTCCCCCCCGGCTGGGACAGGTGGCCACACACACTGCCCTGCGAGGCCCGTTTATCGTGAAGCTTTAATAAACCTTCACAGTGTGTCCCTGCTCTTTTTTAGAAACTTAAACCCCCCGCCCCCTTTGAGGGGCTGACTCCGCCCCCCCCCACCCCAGGCCGGCCAAGGTCTCCGTAACAATGGCGGGAGCAGGTGTCTGGCGCTGCAGCGAGCTCCGCTGTTGACGGGGATGATGAGGTCAGCCGCCCTGACCACCTTGCGGGTGGTGCTGCTTCGTTTATATTAAAGGGGGCGGGACTTGTGAGGCGGCTCGAGGACGAACCCCAGTCCCCTGAAGGGCAGGCGGGACCAGGTGTGTGATGACACGTGGGTTGCTGTTGAAACGTACGATTGGCGCAATGCCGCAGTCTGACTGTCTGTAGTCCCTTCTCCGCCTTGCACTCGCGGGTCTCGCCGAGTGTGACTGTCTTCGCTGTGGTCCGCTCAGCTCCCAGCTGATTTAAAGCTAATTAAACCCGTCCTAAGCTTGGGGGTCCTGATCCGCTCTGGGCTTGGCCGTGACCCCCGTCTTGCCCCCCGCTCCCCTCCTGCGTGGCGAGATAAATCCTGGCTTTCCAACTTCATTAAACATCTCATTAATGTTAAACAGCCCTAAGTTCACCATGCCCCCCCAGCCCAGCACTGGGTGGAGCTCCTTTAGCCAGACCTTCAGCCCGGATGTTTCACTTTTCTCTGGGGTTTCAAAATTTTTGCAGAGGCCAGGAAAATTAAGACAACTTCCCAAAATGGCGAGTTAACTGGTTTGATCCATGGTTTGGATAATTGACATCCCATAATCCCATAAATCCCCTGGGAAGACTGGACCCCTCCCCCAGCTTGATCATTTACGGCTGTGCCGGACGCCAAGTCCCGGCCCATGTCTGTGTCTCCGGATCTGAACGGGAATGACCCTGTGGCCCCTTGGTCTGTGGAGCCAGGGTCTGGTTGGGCCCCTGGGCTTGGTTCAGCGCTTAATCTCCAGATGTTCTGATTGCCGCCATTTCTCTTCCAGCTGGAAGCTTCTGGAACCCACCCTAGGCCGGCAGCCCCCCCAAGCTGCTCATCACAGGACCGCGAGCGCCGGATCTCGCATTCTTTCTACGGAGAGGGGCAGGATGAGGGCATGGCGGCACGCGCTGCAGCGATGGCTCGGATGATAGGTGAGTGAGGTGACGCCGTCGCTGCCGTGACTGGCCGGGATGACAGCCGGTCTGGAACGGGCCGTACCAAACCAGAGTAGAGGGTCCACAATCGCTTCGGAAACACCCACCTCCCGTGTCACGCTGGGCACAGCTGTAACTGGCGGGAGGAGGGGGCGGGTTAAAGCCACTCACGAGTGCAGACCCTGCCAACCCTCCATCCCTGGGCTTTTCACTGCCAAATGAGCCCCCCCCCCCCCCAAAGGGTGTGTAAGCCCTGTTGGAGATCTCCAAACCTCAAGATCACAGAGGCTGCCAAACGCAGCCGATGGCTGATTAATTCGCAGGATCATTGTGGCACGTTTCTCGCTTCAGCTCCACTGGTGCAGGGACAGGGACACACTGGCTGGATGGTAAACAGCTGCCAGAAGGTTCTGGAGTGGCGTCACTATAAGGCAGAAGTGTCTAGAAAACAGGGGTGGGGGGAACCGAGAGTTAAAACTTGCTCAGCCTTTATATGTCCTTTCCTGTGGTGTAATTCAACCATATTTGCTAATGTGTGGTTTTATTCTGTGCACGTTTAACGAGTGTGATGATGTGGGTTTTCCCCGGGTCGGTGTAATGGCCGAGAGCACTTTCTTTGTGAGTATTAGGAGCTCGGAGGCCCACGATCCACCGCTGGGGGGCACTGTCGCAGGGCTAGCCTGGTGGGGATCGCCCACAACCCTGGCTCTTAAAAATTGATCCCTTGGAGAAATGACAGTCCATAGGGGTGGGGGGCATAAATCCGTCCACCCCCACGCAATCACCGTCATGGTCACAGGGAAGTAGTCAGGACTGGGGTTGGCGGTCGCATCAAATGGGGGTGGTGCCCCCCTCGAGCACCAAAGGTGAACCTCTCAGTTAGACATATAAAGGTGGTGGGGGCCAGGTGACCCCCCCAATCAGGCATGAGTGGCTACTGTCGTTAGCAGCCAGCCTGCCACTCTCCCTGATTGGACAGCCCACCGGGGGGGGATTTTGGCGGGTCCCTCTGCTCTTCTCTGATGAGGCCCCCCGAGTCTTGTTCCCGACGCCCTGTATTGACCACAATTGTTCGGTTTATCGTGTTCATCGCCCTGCGTTGACCAGCACGCTCGCTGTTGGGGAGTGGGGGGGGTTTACCCCACATGATATATTTCACCGCTGGGGAGTGCGGTTGGGAATGGGGGGCTTCCCGTTTTGTTTTGCTGAGTTCCTGCAGTCCTCCCTGATCCAGGACCCGCTGCAGGTGAGGCTGTTATGTGGCAAGAATGGGGGCAGGTGCAGCGTAACACATGACTACCTCCCCTGGGGGGTCACACCCCCCCTCCCCGCCCCCCGCCCTGCCGCATGCCAGACGCCAATGCTCTAGCAGCTAATAGATTTGATGCGGCGTCTCTGCACGTGCTCAGTCAGTCGCTGCGGCAGACGGTTCTGCCATGTGACCATCTGGCGCGCTGACCCGTGTGCCGGCCGGGGGCGTCGCTCACTCGCTAGCCGGTGCTGGTGGCGACAGCCGGTTAACTGCTCTAGAGATTCACACGGCAAACGGGGGGGAGGAGGCCCCGGCGGAGTAGTGCCAGATACATGCACGGATCAGCTTTAGGCCCCTGGGAGCGAATGGGATTGGAAGGCCGGGCATCGGAAGGATTGACAGGCGTCTATTTAGAGAGCAGAGTGAAGGTATAGTTACAGTGCTAAGAAATAAATATGTTAATTATGAATGAAAGTTCCTGTGTGTGTCTGTGTAATACGCATATAATATTACACATTGTGCTGCTGACATATGATTGGCTGGTTCAATATTTGCTTCAACGTGCAGTTGAACAGGTGTACCTAATAAAGTGGCCAGAGAGTGTATATATAGATAGACATTAAAACAACATGCATAAACATATATTTTGATGGAATGTTCTATTGGATGAAATGTAGTATTAAGGACTGATTAACGGAGTTCCTAGCTCTCGTGTGTGTGTGTGTGTGTGTGGATGCCAGCACACATGTGACACGTTGTGTGTGAACTGGTCATGGTGTATATTGCTTAAACACTAAGCGCTGTGGACACAGATGTCGGAGAGAAATGATCCATCGCAGCTTTAAAACGGCTCACATCTCCAGCAGGGCGCCTTTATTTTGACGGCAGAGAGATGGTGAATTAGGACATCATTGGTCCTCAGAGAATCCCCTCAGAGCCGTGGGGAGGCTGCAGAGTCACTTGAGGATGGGGGTGGGGTCGCATCCCACCAGTGAGGAAGTGTTGGCTGATATCCCCTGATATCCAGTCCAGATGCGTGGCTAAGGGTGGTCTGCACCTCCGTTGGACCTCCCTGGACCATTATTTTTCCTGCGGTACGGAAGCTAATACTTCATAAGACGCATGGCCTACGGGCCGAGCCTGATGGGTTCAGCGCAGTGGGCTGCGTGGGCTGCGTGGGCTGCGCGGGCTGCGCAGGCTGCCTGGGCTGCACAGGCTGCCGGTCTCGAGCGCCTCAGGAGCCTGTGCCGTCGCGTCTGGTTCTCCTCCCTCCCCTCAGTCTCTTCAGAGGCCAATCTGAGGAATGACGGTCTTGGGGATCCTCTGCAGCCCCCACCCACCCCTCATCTTATCATGTGACCATTACTGTCCTCGCCGAGGCTGCAGGGGGGGTCGCCCCTTCTGTGTGTTCCTGACTGGTGTCGGTGGAAATGAGGGTGTGTAACAATGTGTAACACCTGGGTAATGGATGCCTCCGTCTCGGTTGAATGAACGCGTTGCTTTCTGGTGGGACGAGCCTCCCTGCTCGAACCCGGACGCCGTGCGGTGTGCCATCACAGGCCACCTCCCACCCCACTCATCCCGCCACTCCATTTCTGTGACGACCTCCATCTCCCTCCCATACCTGCACCTCTTCGTTTCTCGTTAACCGTCGCCGACGGCTGCCTGTGAAATGGAGCCTGACATCTCGCATTCGGGGGGCGGCCCTGATGAGGAGGATCCCCGCCGTGCCGTTACGGTAGGCCGTGGGGGCTACATTGCCAGCTTAGGGGGGGTGGGGTCGGCCACCTTACTGTCCTACGCTCCCGAAACGCAGCCGATTATCGTGATTTAACGAAAGCGGCCGTGGGCGCTAAGCTAAGTGCTTTGTATCTCTGGTGATGATGTACCCCATGTTCTCTGTCCTCTTCATCACCTCACTCATCCTCACAGAAACAGCAATGTCACCCCGTGTCTTACAGTAACAGGGCCTGATCTTCCCATTTAAAGTTTTTAATATCTGCCAAGACCTCGGCTCTAAGAAGGATCGCACCTTCCACGGTTCCCCAGGCAGAGAGGCTTATGCAAAATGCTATTCTGGCATTTTTTAAGATGTTATTTTTTCATTACTCTCACCTTTTATGAGCTTGGAATTGCCTCTGCCGGCTTGCCTACCTGCTGTTGAGCGTAACGAAGCTCAACGTGATTAAACAGCACGAGCTGTGAGCGCCACCACTGATGCTAAATCGCCTTGAAGGCACGACGGGGAAATCGGAACAGAGGGATAATCCACCTTTACGAGGAACAGAGGAGTAACGTGCGTGGGAATATATTTTGCATTTGTGTGTTCGTTACAGTGCCGGATTATTCGGCGTTAGGGTTCGACTTGGGGAATTATGAATGATTTTCATATCAAAAAAAACATCCTGACTTGAATATGATGGAAAATGATCCATGCCGGGCGTGTATTTTATCTGCTGTTGTGTGAAAACAATCCGCAGTTTAAACAAACGGTGCTGCTGAAGCTGGATGAATATTTAATGGGCTGGTTTGCTGTCCCCGATGACACGTCTTTAAAATGGCTCCGATTTGCGTTCTCTTGTATCCTGGCTATACAAGACGTGATCGATATGGTGTGGGTGTCTGGTTATCAGTCCAGTGCAGTTATACTTGTACTGATACCTCGACGTAAAAGCCTCCATATGATGATGCAACAGAGAAGCAATGCTCTCGATTAAAACCCGCCCAGTCAGCGTTACATTCTGCTCTGTCCTCATCAAGATTTCAGGAGTTAAAAGGACTCTGATATACCATATGGCCCTACTGCCAGTGCTTTGTCCTGTATATCCACCCTCACCCAGAGCCGTTACCCTACGATTGTCCTGTAGATCCACAAGATGCTGGGATTTCACTGTATGATCGTCCTATAGATCCATGCGGTGCTGGGATTTCACTGTACGATCGTCCTTTAGATCCACGCGGTGCTGGGATTTCACTGTAGGATCGTCCTATAGGTCCATGAGGTGCTGGGATTTCACTGTAGGATCGTCCTATAGGTCCATGTGGTGCTGGGATTTCACTGTATGATCGTCCTATAGATGTATAGGTGCTGTAATTTTGTTGTAGGATCGTCCTGTATGTCTATGAGGTGCTGGAATTTTACAGTAGGGTTGTCCTGCCGTTTGTCCTCCTCAAGAGGAAGGCCGTGTGAGGAGCCGTGTGTGGCTGGTGACCCCTTTTCTGGCTGATTGTCAGCAGAGAATGCATTATGTAACTCAATGATACATATATGGGTAAATATGACAGATCTCACGCTGACAGGACTCTCCTCTCTATCTCCCCATGGTCTGATTATTTTCAGCTCTGCTGCAGAGATTTGTAACACAAGCCCCTTTAATTCCTTTTATATGACGCCCGTTAGCGAGCGCCGTAAATCGATCTTCTGCAGACAATAACGAACTCGGAGCTCTAGACGGTGGAGCAGAGACGCGAAGCCCTGGAAGACGTGAAAAATCCCCGCTGGGAGGCATCCAGGATAAGCAGTTTTTTCCCCCTCTGGCAGCAGTTACATATAATTGTTGTTAAGCTGCTAAATTTACAAAATTATACTGTACTAATGGGAACAAATGTGCTTTTAGTGGTGTGCATATGCAGTGTGTCAGATGTGTTTTATATATACACGAATATAACATTTTGCCACTTGTTACAATGGCTGACGCGTGCATGCTGTGACATCACTGCTTTGGGGAGGCTGCAGTGCATGATGGGAAAGCATGATGGGTCTCTGTGGGCTGAAGATGGCTCACCCACTTAAAGCCTCATCTCTCTCTCTCTCTCTCTCTCTCTCTCTCCCCAGGTAACTATCAGCTTTCCCCCACTGTAAACATGCCCCAGGATGATATGGTCATCATCGAGGATGATAGGCTGCCTGGACTGCCCATCCACCTGTCCGATCAGTCGTCTTCCAGCTCCCATGATGAAATGGGCTTCACCATGGGCAATCCCATCTCCTGGCCAAAAGACATACTGCTGCAGAATGAGTGGTAAGCGATCGTCTCCTCTGGGCGGGGGGGGGGGGGGAGGGGGGCTCACCGCATGTCCAGCTGTGTCATGCAGGAAGCAAGCTCCCAAAAATTTGGTGAGCAATCTCCCACAAAGCCTCAGCTGACAGCATCTCCCGAAACAGCCCGTTGATGACAGCGCTGAGTTTGTTTGAGCTTAGCACCTGTGAGCGCCAAGCCCGTCTTTGCTCGTTTTCGGTAACGTCCCTGACATCTGACATCAGGAGCCTAACGCTAATCCCACTCAGCCCCGCCCCCCAGGCCCACCAGCTGTCCCCATTGGCCCGTGAGTTATTCACACGGCAGTGCTGGCTGTCAGTCGGGAGGATTGTGGTGCGGTTTGCCGCTGCATGCTGTCTGTCAGCCTCTCTGCGCTTAATGATGCACGTTTTTTTCAGAGCAGGACAGGAGGCACGTGGTAGAACTTTCCAGAAGCTGCTTCTTGTCACTGTGCAGCTGTCGGTGCCCCCACCTTGTGTAAATCTCAGGCACAAGTGACATGAGTCAGTGATCAGCGAAATGGGGGCTGAGAGCTCCGGTCAGAGTCCCTGAGAGTCTGTGACAGTACAGGCCAGTGCCTCCCCAAACTGGGGCGGGGGGGCGGGCTGTTTTTCTCGGGTGAAGGTGCATTTACGCCTCTGAAATGCCCAGACGCAGCAGACCCCCGAGACTCCCCCCCCAGCCTGCATGGCTCCCTGGGTATTTCGGCAGTAAAAGCCCCTGGCTTGCTCGCTAAACACCCTGAGTCTAGCGGTCAAGACTCGCCTCTATTTTTAGCCTCAGAGACAGAGGTGACATCGCTATGTTCCGGCTCCGCGATTGGCCATCTCATGCTATTGGACAGGTGCTGGGTGAGACCTTTGTTTAGCTGCATTTCCAATACCTCTCCCCCACACCCACGCACTCACAAATGTCCCCCCCCCCCATGGCATACCTGCCCTCATCCATTATGAAAGAGCTGTAGCTGCGGCGCTATCTGGCGTGATGTCAAATCTCTGTCAGTGAGGAGTCGGACGCCGCCACCACGCGCGGGACTGCAGTGCATGCGTGAGCGCGGGATTACTGCACACAGCTCTCAATTATTCATCCGTCTGTATCAGAGTATGCCCCCCCTCCCCCATGCACGCACACAGATATGCGCGGCACAGGATGTGGGTCAGGCAGCACATCTCTGCTGCTCTGCGTTCGTGTGTGTTATTCTGGGATTCCGACACAGTCCGACACGCCGCTGTCTCCTGCTTGTCTCCTGCTCACGCCTCCCCTCCACCGCACTCCGTGTGGCGGACACTGTGCGATATTGTCATGCCTGGTTACGGTCCATCCTCACCGGCGTTTCCAGGGTTACACCCTGTCACGTTGTCGTGACCACACCAGGTAAATGGCCATCTCGGATGCCTGCAGGCTCAGACCTGGTTCCACCGCGAAATACTGCCGTGTCCTTTTACAGGCTGGCAGGTGAATTCTGCAGGCTGCTGGGGAAATGCCAGAAAGGCACTGGGGTGACTGTGTTAAGGCCTCAGCCCAGAAAGGCACTGGGGTGACTGTGTTAAGGCCTCAGTCCAGAAAGGCACTGG